GGGGGGTTATGATTAAGGAAACACATTCAACACATTTGTTAGACCCCATGGTGAACTCCACTGGGCATCTTTAAGAACGGTACATTACTCTTAAATACGAATACAACAATGCTAATAACTCATGGTACGATATTGCCACAATAAAAAGTGTATGATAATATTTGTCATGATATTAAAATACTGAAGAAAAAGCATGAAGACATGTCCCTTACTAAATAATGTGTATTTTTGTATAATATATATAAGAGATAATGCAGCAGTCAGTAGCAGTACTTTTATTAAATAAAACAACCGACTATTGCAGCAGGTGGATCATGTAAGCAAAACGATCCATATTAAAAGTGGATCATCAGTGTTTTTAGTAGCCCCTAGGCAGGTTTATCCAGAGAATATGTCTGGTGGTCGTGTCAGCTCTAAAAGGTGATGATGGAGCATCTGCTATGTCAGCTTCAAGTTCTATGTCCTGAACACAGTTATACAATCAAAATAACCACACATAATATCCTGGTAGACACCATCGCACTCCCACAGCAATATTGAGAAATTCTTCTATTGCAACATCACAAAATTACAAATCTCCCTACAGCCCTACTCTTAAGTGTAATCTCTCTGCAGTTTGGATATCATGGGTGTCTACCTCCAACACAACGCGTACAGCCTCTTCAAACATGGGCAAGACATCCAGGTTGCCGTCTTTCTCCATCAGACGAGCCTGACAGATCCAGTATTTGGCAAACTTCTTGGACACTTCCGGTAGCCGTGAGAGGACCTCCTTCACTTGGTCTGGAGGGCAGTCCTGTGGAGGCAGAAAAAAAAAAAACAAAGCAAGCATGATGTCATTTATTTTACTCCTCTGTGTAGCAACAGGCTTTTACCGAGTATCAACACTTTTCTCTTCCAACAAGGTCAAACTAGTTCTTTCTCAGCACATCTCGGCCTTCATTTGATTTGTCCTCATTTTCCCTCTGATTACACAATCTCCATTCAAAGTGTTTTTCAATGTCAGCCACATAAATTCCACTGAAATGTAACATCTAGTGGGAAATTATATCAGATTAAACTGGTCGGTAAAACAATGAGGGGAAAAACCCCTCATTCCAAACTATTTACAGTACCTCTCCAAGCAATTTGATGCAGTCAGCCAGGGACCGGTCTATGGCGGAGATGACAGAGTGGGCCTCGTCTTCCTCCATCATGGCAGTCCAAAATGGCTGGGGCACCGCCACCGTGCGTCTGACCTGAGGTTTCACCGGCATTGGAGGACGTTTGTACGAAATCCCTTTAGACTCCCGCCATTCCTGCAGTTTTCTCCTTGAGCCCAAATAACAGAGCAGAGGGTGCAAAGTTCAACATTTTGACTTTTTGATTCAGGCAGCACAGTAGAGAAAGATAATAATTAAGGGGACAAATTAATCTTATGTTTAACCAAGCACTGCACATTTTCATGGTACTTACAATTCTGTGTAACCCTGCAGCTTGTATCTGTTACAGTCCTAGTTACCAAACAAATAACATGTAGAGGTGTAAGAGGAGATACTGTACTTCAGTCTCATCTGATGATCCATACTGATGTGGATTCTTCATATTTGTGAGTGTCCTGTTGCCCTTTAATTTGACGCAACATTTACAGCTGCTAATTTTCATCAAAACCTACATCTCCTTTACAGAAAGTAGCAGTTTGTTTCGTCTTTCTTTGTAAAATCACACAAAGCTTGTCACAGAAAGCTCAGGTGGGAATTAAAACAGTGCCTGCCCACCCACACAGACTTTATCAATGTCAGCCAGAGAAAGCATAGTCTCTTCATGCCCAGAGAACCAATCAAACACTTTAACTGTACATTTCCATTCTCTGAACTGCCAGGGATTTTGTTTTTTTACTGTCAGTTGTATACCATATAGGTCAGTGTGTCTACTGTTATCATAATTGTATGTTATCACTGATTTTCAAAGCAATAGCACTTTTAATACACCAGAAAAACCTCTTGATGCTAAATGCAAAACCCATTTTCTGACTATTGGTTAATCAGAACAAATATTACTCCAGTTCTTAGATCTTTGCACTGGCTTCCAGTTAAACAACAAATTCATTTTAAGGCCTTACTTAATGTCTGTAAGTCCTTCAATGGTCTAGGCCCAAAAATACATCACAGGTATTTTTGATCAGTACAAGCCTGGAAGGTGTCTCAGATCTACAGGGACTGGTTAGCTAGTGTTGCCCAGAGGTTAACTGATAAACACTTAGTTGCCTTTGTGTATGAAAATGTGCTATATAAATTAACTTGCCTTGCCAGAATCACTAATTTGAATAAAAGAAACTTGCACAACATGTTACCATATCATTGAGATATGATTAATCGCAACTTTCCTTGTGAGTTACAAAAAGATCTGAGGTATAACAGCCCTTATGAAGCAAGTCACAAGTCAAACCTAAAGGGTTATTCACACATAGGAATTCAATTTGCAGCCCTGCACTCACACTGGGCTTGACAAATTCAAAAAGGACCCAGCTACACTACCAGGGGAAGTTGAGAAAGGCTCAGCTTTATACAAACATCCTCTGATAGAGTGCCGGCGACTTCCAGGCAACAGCTAACTGACACTATCCAGGTTCCGGGAAAAACAGAAACACAAAGAAAAGGAATTTTAATTCTTCTTAACCTTAAACAAAATGGAAAAAAAATGCAGGTTGCCAGGGTCTCTGGCCTACTAATTCTCTAGAAAAGCATCTTTATCGAGTTAATGGACGTTAGAAAAATGTGGAAACAAATCACACTGTTGGTGTGTCTGGCTGCAGCAGATTTGGCAGATAACAATTGTCCAATGGGAGCATGTGAAATAGCACACTCCCAGAAGTACAAACAGATGAGACCAGATGCTGCCAACTACTTTGTATCACATGCTGTAAAGAGTGGATATTAAAAACACAATGGTACCATAACATGGTTTCATTCTATACAGTTAACCTGTAATTGTACTACTTACATTCTTTCCTCCTGGGCAGCCGTCAGTTTCTTCCCCTCAGTTTGTGGAATGACCCTGATCAGTGCCTTGGGCATCTTCCCATCTGTGGCCTGGCTGATGGCCCTGGCTGGCTGCGGCACCGTCTGTGACATCACTGGAGCTTCAGCTCTTTTTATACCAGTTGGCTGTGGAGGTACATTTACTGAGCTGTGTCCCTTCTTGCTCTGTGTCTCTTTACATGTCTTGGATTTCCTGCCTGGCTCAGCCACAGCATCTCTGGTAACCCAGCTGACCGCTCTGTAACTGTACCTGCTTGCTGGCGCCAGGGATGTTTGGGAAGCAACTTTACAAGGCTGGCTACTCACAGATCTCTGATTTGTGGACCTGTCAGTGGGCGGACCGGCTGACCTGTTTGTTTTTGACACCCCTACTCTCCCCTCTGACTTAATAGGTGCTGCTGTGCACTTGGAGGGTGTGAAAGTTGATTTCAGTGCATTTGATAATTGACTCTTACATGATAGCTGAGAAAGTTTATCCAACAGTGGTTTGGAATTTGAACTGTTCTGACGTTGACCTTTAAACCCAGCCCTTGCAGTCAAACGACCAGTTGTTCTTTCTTTAGCAGGGTTATTTAGAGTAGTGGTAGTAAATGTTCTCCTCTGAGCCACAGCAGACCTCAGGGAAACAGAGGAGGTGCCTGATCGCACCTTGTTAGTAACAGAAGTAGTGCTGGGATCAGTTGCTGTGGTAGAGGTCTGTGACTTTGTGTTTCTTGGCTGGATGACTGCAGGAATGAGTCCAGTTCTTGTTTTGACAATGGGAACAAGACTCATCCTGCCTGATCGCACCTTGTTAGTAACAGAAGTAGTGCTGGGATCAGTTGCTGTGGTAGAGGTCTGTGACTTTGTGTTTCTTGGCTGGATGACTGCAGGAATGAGTCCTGTTCTTGTTTTGACAGTGGGAACAAGACTCATCCTGACACTGACTGATTTCATTGGAATTGACCGGGTAGCACCTGAGCTTCTGCTGAATCTGGTGTTGGATGGTATTACAGCCACATGGCTTGATTTTGAAGTGGCTTTGCCAGAAGACTGCATTCCTATATTGTGCTGCATTTTGAGATGGTTGGCTGCATTCAGGTTGGATTTAGAGGACACAACAGTGTATGTTCTTGTGAGCACCAGATTTTGATTTGGTTTCGGCTGAACTCGGCCACTGTTTGCACCTGGACAACTGGCATTCTGCTGTCCGGTCAGGATACTGCCTTTTATATTTGTTTTGTAAGTGACACCAAATGCTTTTCTGTCTGGGTGTTTTGTGCAACCAGCAGCCAGAGTTTGAACTTTTGTGCCCTCAACTTGAACCTTGTTCTCTTTTCCCTTAACAACCTGTGAAAACAAACACAAATATAAATTACTCAAAACAGGAACACTGCAGTAGCTATTTTCAGAGTTCTGAATAATGGCCAGAATATCAGCTATTTTTGGCAATGGAAAGGAATAATCAAATTGCCCAATAACCAATAATGACAAGGGGAAAAGAAAGACTGAAATTTATTTTTGTAGGTATTCAGACCCTTTGCTGTGGCTCTCCAGGTTGGGGTCAGGTGCATCCTGTTTACCTTAAATATCCATGAGATGTGTCTAGGACTTGACTGGAGACTGCTTATGGCAAACTGATCAGATATATTGTTTATCTACATGTCCTGTGATAGACTGGCAACCTGTCCAGAGTGGACCCCGCCTCTCGCCCAGTGTCAGCTGGGATAGGGTCCACCCCC